ACAAAAATCACAAAACAGACAATCCCGGAGCAAGGAAAACCTGTGTTTTCACAGTGTTCGGCATCTACAAGTTGACTCCGAGTGTACGGCTATCAAATAGGATCACGGTGAGAGTCTACACGTGGATTCCTAATCTGTAAGATACAATTGGAAGCCGCTTGTAAAGACTAACGAACTGGCTCATGTTGTGAGACCATCACATGGACCTCCTTTGGGGGTACTACAGAACGAATCCTACTGCGTAGGAGGCAAAAGAGATCCGTTTGTACAGACTTGCGCACTGATTTTCATTGTGCGGCCTTCAAATGGAATCATTTTGCGCCTGGTTCGGGGGGAAAGACGGGGGCAGGCCGACGAAAAAGACAAACCATACAAAATAAACTAAACAAACAATCTGGGGGACGAAAAACGCGGTTACTAAATGTAAAATGGCTTCCGTATAAACAAAACACACACACAAAGACAAGCTGGAAACAACGAGAAGCTGTGATGTCACACTGCCTAGCCATTTACAACTTGATTCCTGTTGTGTGGCCATCGAATAGAATCCCTTAGTGGGACTTTACACTTTGATTCCTAGTGTATATGATGTAACTGACATCCTTGTTGTACAGACGTACAAACTGACTCCGAGTGTGCGACATGACATGGAATCCCTGCGGGGTGCTACACATGGATTCTGTGTCGGATACAAATGCAATCCTGTTGTACAGACGTATGTTTTGTTTCCGATTGTGCGGCGATACACATTGACTCGTTCGTGGAGCACTACAATTTGACTCCTCTTGTGTAAGGGACACTTGAAAACCTTGTGTACAAGTTTATACATTGATTCCTGGTGTGCGGCTTTCAAATGGAGTCCCGTTGCGCCTTGCTCGGAAAGAGAAGGGGAAGGGGGGCTGGCCGACGGAAAGAAACAAACATTACAGAAAAAACGATATGGTGGACCAAAAACGTTGTGTCTGTATGTGTAAAGTGTTTTTTTACTTGTGACCCCCCCCCCAAAAAAAATGGAAGCAAAAAACACTTGTGTTTTGTCTACGCATGTGCAGATTGTGCGGCCATGAAATGGAATCCTTCTGCCGGGTTGTACTAGTTGACTCCTGTTCTGCAAGATACTGTTGAAATCCTTGCGTACACACATACAAACTGACTCCTAATGTGCGGCCGTACAATGAAGTCATGTTGTGGGGAACTACAACTTGATTCTTATGGTCTATGAAGCAACTGATATACTTTATTGTACCCGTATACAAATGGGTTCCTATTGTGCGACCGGCCATAAAATAGAAGCCCTATGGGGGGTCTACACATTGATTCGTATTGTACACAATAGTACTCCTTCTGTACAGACGTACAGACTGGTTTCCATTGTACGGCCTTCAAATTGAATCTCTTTGCGCCTGGCTCGGGAGGGTGAGGGGGAGACCTGGTCGAAAAAAAACAGAAAACTGGAGCACCAAAAACACTGTATGTTAATTTGCGAACTGGTTTTTACGTGCACACACAAGCACACAACAAAGACAATCTGGAAGCATGGAAATCATGTTTTCAAGATGGCTAGACATGTACACATTGGTTCCTAGCGCGCTGCCATCGAATAGAACCCCTTAGTGGGACTCCACAAATTGATTCCTAGCGCGCAGGATCCAATTGAAATCATTGTGTACAAAAGTGGTTGGTTCGTGTTGAACGGCCATCACATGGAATCCCTGCGGGGTACTACACACACAGAAGTAATCAGTACGAGACTCCGCACACGGATATGCCCATGCTATAATACACACCAAGAACCGCATCACCATCAGATTGTTATTATTATTCCTGTTCCTACTCACATCCCTCACCCGCTTCTCTTTCCTCTTTGAACTTGCCACCCTCTTCTGTCATCGTCACAATCATCATCAACATCGCAGATATCAGAGTCAGCAGGATAATGATACATGTTGGACAACGGAGGCGAAGGTAGATTACAGGAGGGGCCCTTAGCATATGTATATATATATATATGTATATATATATATACACGCATACATATGTAAATATGTGCATATATATAAACAGATAGAGATAGGTAGAGACAGATAGATAGATATATAGACCGATATGTAGATATATAGATAGACAAATAGATAGATAGCCCACGTCGCGCACGTGGCGCGCCTGACACACTTGGAAAATGCTGCAGGCCTAGCGCGCGAGGCGAACTTGGCGCACTCAGCGCACCAAGCGCGCCCAGCGCGCTTGAGCACGCGTGGCGCACCTGGCACTTTTTTTGCTGGCGGCTCCCAGGCGAAAGTCAGGAAGCGGGGCATCGAACGGGGCGCGAAACGAAGATAATTAGCCGAAGAGGCGCATGCACATGCAAGGGACAAAATGACCCAAATTAAACACCGACGACCGGCGCCGACATCCTGGGGGGCGGGGGCGCCACGTCGCAGCGAGCGGCGGCAACGGCGGTACAGCGTGGCCAGGTGATCGAGCCAGGCATCCCAACGGGTGGGGACGAGCGCGGCGACCAGCACTGGAACGGTACTGGAACAGCTGGGAGAAGTCGCCCTGGCGGCGCCTGTCTCCGGCCGAACGACACACGCACACCTGGCACGCGTCGTGGCGCAGCTCGCGAGCTTAGCGCTTAGCGCACCAAGATTTGTTCCCACTCAGGACAGCCGATCTCGTTGGGCAGCCGGGTTCCCGAATTCCTGGGGTCGCGGTCCCGGGTCCTGGGGTCTGGGCATTGGTCCTCAACCAGTGCTTGCACAGAAGGGGTCCTCGCGGACGTTGCAGGGATTGGGCGACAGCGTGCCGCCGATTTCGGTAGGCGGCCGGGTTGGGGTTCCCGGTGGCGGGCCTTGGTGACAGCTTCTGGCAGTTCCCAGTGGGCTGCTAAATTCCCAGGTGCCCAAAGAGGAAGAAGCGCGGAGACCAGAGAGTGAAGACAGCGTGGCCGTATCTCGGAGAGAAGAGCGAGTAGAAGGAGTGAGGAGAGCGCAAAACGAAGGAAGCATGGATTACACAATGGAAGGTAGAGAGCATGGATCACAGCACGGAGTGCGAAGTGCCGCCACCAGAGAGCAGAGAGCAGAGAGCCAACAGTGGGGAGGCAAGAGTGGAGTGTAGAGGGCGGATGGTAGAGAGCAAAGAGTGGAGAGTGAAGGTGGGGGTAGAAATCAGATGCATGAGAGAGGAGCAGGAGGAGGGAGAGGAGGAGGAGGAGGAGGAGGAGGAGGAGGAGGAGGAGAACGGAACAGAGTAGAGAGCGCGCAGCAAGTGCAAATCATGCACAGTACAAAAAAACTGATAGAAATTGTAGAGGGAACAGGGAACCGTCCGTCGTCCATTGCCCTCGCCCACCACTGGCGAGCCGTCTGTATATTTTCATGCGCGGTCAACAGATTGAGTTTTTTCTGGTGTGATGTTTTGGTTCCCAATGGCTGCCCATTGAATGGCGACCATCCCGTTGCTGTCTCAAGCGTTGCTTATGTGGTGGGAGGACGGGTGGGAGCTTGATCCCTCCCCCTAGCCCCTCCCTGGGTGTCCGGACCACGGAGTGGCCGCGGGTGGTCAGAGTGTCCGCGTTGGCCATAGCTTGCTCCAAGATAGCCCCAAACAGCCCAAGACTGCCTCTACGATGCGGCAAGAGAGCCCAAGGTGGCCCTGATGTTCTCCAGCATCTCCAAGAGGCCCCACGAAGACTGCCCCCAGGCTTCCCAATGACGCCCCGAAGAAGCCGAAAATATAGAAAAACATGGTTGACTGAGTGTCGCTATCTCGCCGCCTTTCCGCTCCCGCTTGGCCTCGGTGGCGTCAACGTGGCATCGAAATCGCTCCAAAAAGTGACACCCAAGAGATCCCCGACCAAGAGAGCCTCAAGAGGCCTCCAAAATACTCCCAGAGGGCCCCATGATGGCAATGTTCATGTGGCTGGTGTCCACTTCGTTGTTCCCTACCTGGGCTCTGCCTAGAAGGGTTCTTACCGTGTATGCTTAAAGGGCCGGGCAGTGGTCCTCGCCCCGGGCGGTTCCCCCAGTATCCGCCCCGCGGTTCCCCCAGTGACAGCCACTTAGCTTAGCGTTACTTATCTCATCTTAGCTTAGCTTATTTCACCTTAGCTTAGCTTAGTTTCATCTTAGCTCAGGTTTATCTTAGCTTAGCTTACCTTCATCTTAGCTTCGCTGAACTTTAGCATAGCAGAGCACAGCATAGCATAGCATAGCATAACGCAGCATAGCATAGCATAGCATAGCATAGCATGTCATGGCATAGCATAGCGCAGCTTAGCATAGCACAGCATAGCATAGCATAGCTTAGCATAACACAGCGCAGCATGGCATAGCATAGCTTAGCATAGCATAGCATAGCATAGCGCAGCATAACATAGCATAGCATAGCATAGCATAGCATAGCGCAGCATAGCATGGCATAGCATAGCATAGCATAGCATAGCAACTAATGCTGCTTTCCTAGGGGCTCCAACTTCTAGGTAGGGTCGCACTGGGGTAATTTCAGTACTGTTATTTTATGTTCCTTCTCACGCTAACTCGCCTGGAACAGTTTCTAGACGAATCGATGGGAACACGCACGTGAAGGCAACGTACCTCTCATGAACAAAATGTATGGAGGATATATATATATATATATATTATATATATGTATGTATGACCTTTCCTGGTCGCGCTGTTCGTGGAAAACCGGACGTGCTTTCCTGTAAAGACGCGCAAAGCCATAAACTTCCGGAGGTCCGCGCTGACTTCTTCCATCTGCGCTGACGCCACCCCGGCGGCGCCTCAGCGCGCGCCAGGGAGGGGGGCCCAGCGCCGATCCGAGAAGTCTGCGCGGAGCCTCGAAAGTTTCTGCCGCCGTTTCTTCCTCGGCATGCGAAAATGGATCCCTGCTGCCACGACCGGGCCGGGGAAGGGGCCGAACGCCGATCCGAGAGATCCGCGCGGAGGCTCGACAGCTTGCGCCGCCTTTTTCCTCCGAGGTTCTGACCCAGGATCCTTGCTGCCGCAGTCGCGCTGGAAGCCCTGCTGGACATGGCACCCGCCCGCCTTCATGACGTAGGCCATCGTGCCAGAATCGTCCTCGGTGCTGCACGGGCCGCCTTCCGAGGAGGAGAGGCCCTTCTTGATCAAGATGTTGTTCATCAGCTCCCACATCCTCGTCATCCTCCTCGTTATTATCCTCCTCCTCCTCCTTCTTCTCCTCCTCCTCCGACCCCCCCTCCTCATCCTCCTCCTCCTGATAATGTTCACCAGCTTCGTCTTCCTAATCAATATCATCCTTTCCCCATCGTCCTTCTCCTCCTCCTCCTCCTCCTCCTCCTCCTCCTCCTCCTCCTCCTTCCTTCCTTTCATCCTCCTCCTCCTCCTGACGTTGTTCATCAGCTCCCACGTCCTTCGACCATCTGCGCGTCCACCTCTGGAGGAACAAGACGACGGTATGAGAGGTTGGGGGGGGAGTCCGACGTGAAACGGAGACGCCCCCTACCAGGAAATCGATTTCGGTTTCGGGTTCGTGTCGTGCGTGCCGTGCGCGCGTGCGGGCGAGGCGAAGCTGCGTGGGCGGGCGAGGAGAGGAAATCCTCCTGTGGCTGGGCCGCGGCCGGACCAAATGTTGCTCCTCCGGCGGCCGGTGCCGCGCGGTGTCCCGCAGGTGTCCCGCTGGTGTCTCGAAATCCTCCTGTGGCTGGGCCGCGGCCGGACCAAATGTTGCTCCTCCAGCGGCCGGTGCCGCACGGTGTCTCGCCAGTGTCCCGTGGTGTCCCGTGGTGTCCCGTTGAGTGAGATCGATCGTGAGATCGATAGTGAGATCGATACAGAGATCGATGTGGTGCCCCGAGGTGCCCCGAGGTGCCCAGTGGTGTCCCGTGGTGTCCCGTGGTGTCCCCTTGAGTGAGATCGATAGTGAGATCGATACTGAGATCGATGTGGTGCCCCGAGGTGTCCCGTGGTGTCCTATGGTGTCCCGCTGAGTGAGATGGATAGTGAGATCGATACAGAGATCGACAGGTTTCCAGAGGTGTCCCGTGGTGTCCCGTTGAGTGAGATCGATAGTGAGATCGATACTGAGATCGATAGTGAGATCGATGTGGTGTCCCGAGGTGTCCCGTGGTGTCCTATGGTGTCCCGCTGAGTGAGATCGATAGTGAGACCGATAGTGAAACCGATAGTGAGATCGAGAGGTGTCCCGCGGTGTCCCGTGGTGTCCCGTGGTGGCCCGTGGTGGCCCGTGGTGACCCGTTGAGTGAGATCGATAGTGAGATTGATAGTGAGATCGGCAAGTGTCACGTGGTGTCCCGTGGTGTCCCGTTGAATAAGATCGATAGTGAGATCGATTGGGTCAGATGTTGGTTCCCCCTCTCTACCCCCCCCTTATCACCCGAAGGGTGGTCGTATAGGTAAGGATATGAGCTGGACCCCACCCTGGCGCACGGAGCGCGCCCCGGGGGGCAAAGGGCCGATCTGAGAAATCTCCGCAGGGCTCAAAGAGTCTTATGCTTGTGAAATTCTCTCCTTCGTACTCGCCCGCCCCGCCCGACTCCGCTCAAACTGTCCCCAGACCCCAGGAGCATCCTGACCGTGGCGATGAAGAGACTCCAGGAGGCCCAGAGAGGCCTTCGTCGCCGTCGTCGTCGTCGTCGTCGCCGTCGTCCACCATGTCGTCGTCGTCGGTCGTCGTCGTCGTCGTCGCCGTTTTCGTCGTCGTCGCCACCGTCGTCGTCGCCGTCGCCGTCATCTTCGTCGTCGTCGTCGTCCCCGTCGCCGTCGCCGTCATCGCCGTCGACGTCCGTCACCGTCAAAGCCGTCGTCGCCGTCGACTGTAGTGCCGTCGTCGTCGTCGCCGTCGCCGTCACCATCGTCGCCGTCGCCCGTCGCCGTCGCCGTCGCCGTCACCGTCGCCGTCGGTCGTCGGTCGTCAGTCGTCGTCGTCGTCTTCGCCGTCGTCGTCGACGTTGCTGTCGCCGACGCCGTCGCCGTCGCCGACGCTATCGTCGCCGTCGGTCGTCGTCGCCGTCGTCACCGTCGTCGACGACGCCGTCGTCGCCGTCGTCGTCATCATCGCCGCCGCCGTCGCCGTCGCCGTCGCAGTCGGTCGTCGTCGTCGTCGCCGTCGCCGTCGCCGTCGCCGTCGCGACGCTATCGTCCCGGCGTTTTGTCGTCATCGCCGCCGTCGCCGGCATCGTCGTCGTCGTCGCCGTCGGTCGTCGTCGCCGCCGTCACCGTTGTCGTCGCCGTCGTCGCCGTCGTCGTCATCATCGTCGCCGCCGTCGCCGTCGCCGTCGCCGTTGGTCGTCGTCGCCGTCGCCGTCGCCGTCGCCGTCGCCGTCCCACCGTCGCCGACGCTATCGTCGTCGTTGTCGTCGTCGCCGCCGTCGCCGACATCGAGCGTCGTCGCCGTCGTCGCCGTCGTCGTCATCATCGCCGCCGCCGTCGCCGTCGCCGTCGCCGTCGGTCGTCGTCGTCCGTCGTCGCCGTCGTCGTCATCGTCGTCGTCCATGGTGGCTCGTCAGCGTCGTCGTCGTCAACGTCGCCGTCGTCGTCGTCGCCTTCGGTCGTATCGTCGTCGCCGTCGCCGTCGCCGTCGCCGTCACCGCCGCATCGGTCGTCGTCGCCGTCCGTCGTTGTCGCCATCGCAGACATCGCCGTCGTCAACGCCGTCGTCGTCGTCGCCGTCGACTTCTCGCCGTCGTCGCACCGTCGCCGGGCTATCGTCGTCGTCGCCGTCCGCCGTGGGCCTTCGGTCGTCGTCCGTTCGCCGTCGTCGTCGTCGTCGTCCGTGGTGGTTCGTCGGCGTTCGTCGTCGACGTCGTCGCCGTCGTCATCGTCGTCGTCGTCAACGTCACCGTCACCGCCGTCGTCGCGGTCGTCGTCGTCGTCGGTCGTCGTCGTCGCCATCGCCGTCGCCGTCTCCGTCGCCGTCGTCGTCGTCGCTAGTGGTGGTTCATCGCTGTCGTCGGCGTCGCCGTCGTCGCCGTCATCGCCGTCACCGTCGCCGTCATTGTCGCCGCCGTCGCCGACGTAGTCGTCGTCGCCGTCGTTGTCGTCGCCGTCGCCGTGTCCGTAGTCGCCGTCGCCGCCGTCGTCGCGGTCGTCGTCGGCGTCGTCGTCGTCGTCGTCGCCGTCGTCATCGTCGTCGTCGTCAACGTCGCCGTCGCCGGCCTCGTCGCGGTCGTCGTCGTTGTCGGTCGTCGTCGTCGTCGCCATCGCCGTCATTGTCGCCGTCGTCGTCATCGCTAGTGGTGGTTCATCGCTGTCGTCGGCGTCGCCGTCGTCGCCGTCATCGCCGTCACCGTCGCCGTCATTGTCGCCGCCGTCGTCGCCGTCGCCGACGTAGTCGCCGTCGTCGCCGTCGCCGTCGCCGTCGCCTTCGCCGACGCTATCGTCGTCGTTGTCGTCGTCGCCGCCGTCGCCGACATCGTCGTCGTCGTCGCCGTCGGTCGTTCGTCGCCGTCGTCGCCGTTGTCGTCGCCGTCGTCGCCGTCGTCGTCATCATCGCCGCCGTCGTCGCCGTCGCCGTCGCCGTCGGTCGTCCGTCGTCGTCGTCCGCCGTCGTCATCATCGTCGTCGTCCATGTTGGCTCAAGGCCGTCGTCGTCAACGTCGCCGGTGTCGTCCGTCGCCTTCGGTCTGTCCATCGTCGTCGTCGTCGCCGTCGCCGTCGCCGTCACCGCCGCAATCGGTCGTCGTCGCCGTCGTCGTTGTCGCCATCGTCGTCAACGCCGTCGTCGTCGTCGCCGTCGACTTCAACGCCGTCGTCGTCGCCGTCGCCGACGCTATCGTCGCCGTCGCCGTCGCCGTCGCCTTCGGTCGTCGTCGTCGCCGTCGTCGTCGTCGTCGTCGTCCGTGGTGGTTCGTCGGCGTCGTCGTCGTCGACGTCGTCGCCGTCGTCATCGTCGTCGTCGTCAACGTCACCGTCACCGCCGTCGTCGCGGTCGTCGTCGTCGTCGGTCGTCGTCGTCGCCATCGCCGTCGCCGTCTCCGTCGCCGTCGTCGTCGTCGCTAGTGGTGGTTCATCGCTGTCGTCGGCGTCGCCTTCGTCGCCGTCATCGCCGTCACCGTCGCCGTCATTGTCGCCGCCGTCGCCGACGTAGTCGTCGTCGCCGTCGTTGTCGTCGCCGTCGCCGTGTCCGTAGTCGCCGTCGCCGCCGTCGTCGTCGTCTTCCGTGGTGATTTGTCGGCGGCCTCGTGCTCGGTGTCGGTGGTTGTCGCCCGTGGTGGTTTATCGGCGTCGTCGATCGCCGGTCGTCGTCGCCGCCGACGTCGTCCGTCGTCGCCCTTGCCCCCCTCCGAACCTCGGCCTCGGACCGCAGCACGAACCACTTCTTCACCAGGTGCCGGCCCGCGCGGAGCCGCTTCAGCGCGTAGGAGAGCCACGCCGAGGCCTTCACGACGAAGGCCCTGTATCTCTCGTGCCGCGACGCCTTCGTCCTGCTCCCGAACGCAGCGCCCACCCCACCCGGTGCCTCCACGAGAGAGGCCCCTGGCCCCGCGTCGCCATCATCCTGCTTGGCAAGGCCTCGGGCTGCGCAACGACAGCCCCCCAAGGTCGTCCTGGCTGGGCTCAGCAGGAACCCCCTGCGTAGCGGGCTGTCTCCGCGCTCTGGCGCCGCCTGCGGCGGCGCCCCTGGGGCGCTCCGCGCCACAGAGTTGGGCTGCTGGGACTGCCCCTGACTGCTCGGGGGGCCTGTCGAGGCCGGCGGGGTCTCCCCCATGAGGGGGGGGGGCTGCCTGTGCGCAGCCCGAGGCCTGCCCAGACCTGCTCGTCGGGGGCGGGGAAGACGCCGAGGATCGTGCTCAGCGCAAGGCGGAAGAGCCGCTTCGCCTTCAGCGCCGGGTCCTCCTCCTCAGCCAGAGGCTCCTCTTCTGGGACGCCGCCAGCAGCATACCCGACGAGCTTGATATGAGCTTCCGCCGGCCCTGGCACTCGCGGAAGCGCGTATCAGATTGGTCTGGTGCACGGTTGGCGTCGTCAGAGCTACAAAAAAAGGCGCAACTCACAAACTTCCGGAGGTCCGCGCGGATTTATCGTGCATCGGCGCCAGGGCGGCGCCGCTAGTGGGGCCCAGCGCATACCGAAGAAATCCGCGCGAATCTCGAAAAATGCACGGTGAGGAACTGTTGCTTAGCGTGTCCTGGCGGAGACCCATGCAGTAGGGGCTAGCCCACAAGAAACCGTCCACAAGAAACCCAATCCTGAGACCCCAGGACGTCCATTGAGTTTTGGTGTCGGAACGCCACGCTCTCCATCGCAACACCATCGAAACCCACGAAACCCTGGAGGCAAGCAGGAGGGGGGAGGAGGAGGAGGAGGAGGAGGAGGAGGAGGAGGAGGAGGAAGAGAGGAGGAGGAGGAGGAGGAGGAGGAGAAGGAGGAGAGGAGAGGGGAAGGATGAGGAGGAGGAGGAGAGGAGGGGAGGAGGATGGGGAGTGGGAGGATGGGGAGGGGGAGGAGGAAGGAGGAGGAAGGAGGAGGAGAAGGAGGAGAGGAGGAGGAGGAGGAGGAGAGGAAGGATAGGAGGAGGAGGAGAGGAGAGAGGAGAGGAGGAGGAGGGGAGGAGGGAGAGGAGGAGGAGGAGGAGGAGGAGGAGGAGGAGGAGGAGGAGGAGGCAAGCAGGGTGTTTCTTGGCATGGGCCTCCGCTGTAGCACGACGCCCCTGAGCCGCCTTCGAGGCGCCGCCGGCGTGCGTGCCGTGCCCGCGAGGCGTGGCGGGCCAGGACCGCCGGCGCGACCTCGCTGAGCAAAGGCTCCCTGCCGTGCGCTTGTG